TCGTCGTCGAATAGCTACGACATCATCATCTCCACTAACATCATCCGTTCAATCAATCATCTCTATTCCACAAATGGTAACATCGTCATTCTCTCAACCACTTTCTACTTCGTCGATGTCAACTTCAGCAATATTGCCACAACAAGCTCAGCCAGTCATTTCTTTTCGACGATCATTCTCTTCACTCGCTTTTCCTGTTCGTCAACCTCGTATTGACACATCTCAACCATTTGAGTTTGGTAATATTTTATTCTCGGGACCTTGCAATCAAAAATGTCCGTTTTGTATCGGTCATCAATTAATCAAAACTCCTAATAACTTACGTAAGGAATCTCTAGAGAATCTCGATGACTTCATTGCTGTAATGAAGGAATCTGAAAGTTCCAAGATTATATTAACAGGTACAAGAACCGATCCACAACTTTATAAATACGAAGAGAAATTATTAAATAGATTACGAACTGATCTACCGAATGTTCACATTTCTCTTCATACAAATGGTTTATTGGCCGCCGCAAAGATGAGAATATTTCGAATGTACGATTCTTGTACTATCTCTGTTAATTCATTTCGTCCGGAGACATACTTGAAACTTCATGGTGTCAAACAAATGCCAGATCTAAGACATATCATTAATCAGGCACCAAACGTTCCGATCAAACTTTCTTGTGTATTAACTGAGGATAATATGAATCAGGTAGATGAATATTTGGAAAATGCTAAAGTTCTTGGAATTAAGAGAATCGCATTACGACACCTTTATGGCGATTCCCGGCGTTTACCAATCAATGCTTTCCAACATAAGAAACCGATCAAGTTTCATCAAAGTAATCCAGTATATGATTTTGATGGTCTTCAAGTAACTCATTGGATCTTTGATAAAACTTCGGGTCGATCTTTAAATCTGTTTTCGGATGGAACTCTTAGTGCTGAGTATCTCTTAACGAAAGCTCCTAATCAATTACTTGTTTAACCTGTCAACGACTTAATTTTAGTCTTAGATTGATATCGAACTCTTACAAGCGAACGATAAGAGACAATATCGAAATTGAAATGTTTTGTTTTAAATATATTTTATAATAAATAATTGCAGCACTAGTGTTTCGCGTTCATGGACTCGAGTCAATAGAGTGAAAACAACATTTTGACAACGATACTAAATAATAGGAATGAGTTTGTGCGATCGGTATATACTATACTAGGAAGCAATAAAAAGAATGCTTTGATCTTCCTTAGAGTTCAAAAAGTAAAATAGAAGTAAAATAGAGTAAGAGATGAGAATCTAACAAACCAAAAGAGGTAAATATTAATCGAACCACATAACGGTTTAGTGAACCACATTCTTTCTGAAAGAAAATACTATTTAAAAATCAGACAACTAAACAGTAATCAAGGAACAATAATGATACTGTAGCACTCAAAAAGACTTTTTTCGAATTGGAACAAAATTTTCCTTTTTGTTCCGCCCCTCATCCCACAATATACAATAGTTTTGGCACTTTTTACAATTATTTGATTGTTGAGAGAACTGGCTGAGATTGTATATTTATTTCAATTTATTTTTTCTTAGTATTAACACGTGATATTGTAGTTGGTTTGTTTGTGAGAGAATAGATCACTACTAGGGATCCTTATATTAAGTTATAATCCCCAGCAAATATTACTCAAATTGAAATAAAAAAAAATACAGTCCAATCGGTTATCATCGACATCAATAGCTCCTCTAAAAATCTACCGAAAAGCCAGTTTTACGAAAATTAGGGTTTTCAGGCTGTTTTCACCTAATATTAAAAAATTCACTAATCACTTAAAAAACATCAGAACAAGCTCAAAACACCCTTTTGGAAAATCTAAGAGCTCTGTAAAATTTATTTTCAGATCTAGGATATAGAATAGCTTAAATACTATACAGTCTGAAGTTTTGAGCTTGTTCTGATGTTTTTTAAGTGATTAGTGAATTTTTTAATATTAGGTGAAAACAGCCTGAAAACCCTAATTTTCGTAAAACTGGCTTTTCGGTAGATTTTTAGAGGAGCTATACCGATATAAGAGGAACATTTTGGCTTGCAACATGCCGAGAATAAAATCTCAAACTCAAATTGAAGTTGACATCGACGAAGTAGAAAGTGGTTGAGAGAATGACGATGTTACCATTTGTGGAATAG